TTTAATCAATGATCGGATCTTTTTCTTTATTTCATTTCTCAAAAAATTAAGCATGCAAACAAGAATTTCCATGATTCGTATACCATACAGAAAAAATATATGTTACCGTCTTCTACTTACTGTCAATCGTTTATGTAATGAAGAATTATAAAAATTAGAACGCGCGTACATCGATTGTATTTAAACTAAAGCAATACAGAATTGATTTACTGAACTAGGACAGAATTTTTTATGAATGATATCGTTTCTAATACAATAAACAATGGACGGGGATTGTTTAGTTTCTGAATTGTAGTATCGAAGGTTGCAATATTTTCTACGCTGGCATTGAAGTCTCCAAATATATTATGTTCTATTTGTAGGACGGCACGCATTAATATAGATGCATGCATAATAAAAATAAATAAACATAAATGATTAGAATCATTACCAAAATTCATGATTGCTCTAATCAAATATAAAGGAGGCTTGGTGAAACATTAACGTTATGTTAATAATAATTCTACGTAAATTCGATAATTGTAAATAAATTCTTTTTCAAGATCCAGAGTAATTTATTTAATAGGACAAAAAATCCGAAAAATTAAGATGTATGATGCTTAGTACACTTACAAAACATTTTTAAATCTGTACTCCTGAAATGCTGTTGCAAAATCTTTTTTACCATAACTCGGAATCATTTCCAATGGTTGTCTGCTCTTGTTGCTATTGCGATTTCTCTGAGAGAAATTATATACGATATATAATGTAAGATATTATAATTTCTGCAAAAAATAAAGTTTTTGAGGTGACATTTTTTTATAGAACATATTTACGGTTTTGAAAACATATGGGTATGGCATTTACGCTGCGATTATATTTTCGAAAAAAATGTTTTCCTTACATAAAAAATATATCTACAAATTTATTTCTACATATTCGATTTGTCGTAAAAAATGCTATAAAAACATATATTTTATAAATTTTATCTTACAAATTACTGATAGCCGATGTTCACAGGGTTGCTCCCCCCCCCCTCCCTAAATAAAATGGCATATTAATTTTTCGATGTCTGAAAAGATGTCATCAACCTAACAGTTTTAATCCAAAACATATTTTTTAAAATACTGTATAGCTAAGGAGTTATAATAAAAACAACCTTATGTGAAGAGAGTAAATGTAGATGTTGTGAGACATCAATGAAAATACATTTTCCTTAAGAAGCTGTTTTTTTTATTTTTTATTAATACTTTATCTGTTCTTCCTTACGTAAGGACTATAGCAGAAACCGAGGCTAGAGTGCATCCATATCATCTAACCGTAAGACTTCTTTCTTCTCGTAATTTAATCGTCTTTGGGAACTACAAATTACTTAAACCCCCCAATCTTTCTAACACGTCTAAAGTACGTTAATCCTATATTTGACAAGAGTTTAATGGATTCGTCAATAAATATTCCGCTATACGATAATGATCTAGACTATGTGCGTACATACAATATATATATTCGCTACACCGACCAAAGTAACGATGATATCCCCGTTATCAGTTGAGACGCTACGTACTGGAAAACATGAACGCGTCTTTTATAGTGTACGCGTGTCTTATTATTGCCATCCTTCCATCAGTAAGGGTTCAACTAGTTCCTTCTGATCAACCCTGCAAATCGGAAGGCAACTTCGAGATCGTCGATGGAACGTGCAAAAATTACTATATTTGCATTTTCAATGGTGTGGCATTACAATCGTACAGCTTAACATGTAGTACACGAACTTTTTTCAACCCCGTTATCGGTTTATGCGCGACGGGGTACGTTTGTGAACAATGAGTGCCAACTACACAATATGAGATCTGACAAGAACGCCAGATCCGACAACAACCTCAACAACGGCTGATTGGACACCACCAAATTGTTTTTTCATCCCCAACAACAACTGATTCGATACCAACAACAACAACAGCTGATTTGACACCACCACCAACAGCGATGTAACAATCAACACAATTATCTGAAAGTTTTGATTCTGTTTGGATTTAAAAGAACGAACACATTCGGCATTTAACATCTGACAGACTACAGAATTAAATGTTATGGTAATTAGAATTACTTCTTCAGAATTTAATTCTATTATCTCCTCCACTGAGAAAACCAGAACCATTAACATTTATATCTATAGCATAGGCTGTTACTTTGAATGATAATGTAGTGTAGATGATTATAATGGAAATTATGGTTCTTATTAAATGATCTATACAAAATTGGATAAAGATCTGCGGTCTAATTATAACTATCTTGAAATCATGTTCGTAATGAATGATTATAATTACTAGTAATAGACTTTATCGAATTTCCATACGATTTACAAGTGGATTACAATTATTAAGTAGCCCAGTAAGCACGACAGTCAATGAATAATTTAAATAATCAATGGAAACATAAGACAGTCGACGAATAACTTAAATAATCAAAGGAAATATAAGTATTATTCATAATTAACGTCGGTAATCATTAATTATGAAACAAATGCTATTTCTGATTATGATTCATCCAAAAGCTTGTTGTTACGTGTATTAGTAATTTTAATAAAAGTTAAATAAATCATTCATTCCAGTCTTACGAATGATCGATTACCAATTATAACAATGATTACTGATTTATTCCAGGAACGATTAATTTATAAATGTTTAGAGATTGCCGAATATAATCACTCAGTAACGATTAATTCGTTAATGATTACAATTATCATTACAAAAGCAGTCAGAAAATAAGCTACTACTGGCTAACTTTGAGTTGGGTAAGTCAGCTCGACTTTTATCTCGAGCAACTTTGAACGTCAGGCAAACTACCCTCAAGATCAAAATGTCATGAGGATCCTAGGTAGGAGAACTTTCGTAGAAGTGAGCCACGTGTGGGAGATCGCGGTAGGTAGGTAGAAAAGGAGTTCGGTTCTTGGAGAGCAAGAGAAAGGACAAGGTGATAGAGAAAGAGGGAAAGCGGGAAGGAAGCAAAGAAGGAGCAAATGTATATAAGCGAGTCGCATGGAAGACGCTCCAATGGACTCTCTCTTTGACCCTAGTGAAGTGTGCACCTTTCTTTCCGTTTTTTCTTCTTTCTCCTTCCTCTTCGAGGTTCCCTCTATACGATTCTCGCGCGGCATCCTTGTGCTTCAACCTTCAACCTGCCGTGAAAACGCGACAGCTTCCGTTCAGCGGCTCGCTATTCGACCGATTCGACGCTATCAAAATGGAACGTTGAATTCGCATTGGCGATTGCTTTGGCTGCTCCTTTTAACCCTCTTTGTTTTCATTGAGCTCGACGAACCGCGATATCGTGAACTTTGCATATAGTTCTCTGGATCGGACGAAAGTGTGATTCCCGCTCGAACGTTGTTTTTGTGATATGTTCCTGAAGGAAAGTACCTGATAAACACGGATAAAGATGGATGTGCCTCGAGTGAGTACAGGACGAAATTCCAAACACGTGAGACGCGTGATTACACGTGAAAAGTAAAGTGACCTACACAACTACTTACATACGGTCGCCTACTAATTTCTATGTCCTTGAAGACTCTTCAATTTCCGGTTTTGATTTGCTTCCGCGGTTTTTATGCAATTATGACAGAAATGAACGAGACAAATACACAGCTGTGAGAAGACATTATATGAATTTAAGAATATACTCCTATTACATTCGATTTACTACACAGTTATTAAGGGAATGGCTACAGCTTCATTCGGCTTTTGTTTCTTGCAATTGAATTAGAAAATTTTATCATCATTTAAATCACATGTTTAATATAATATGGGAAATGGCTTAGTAATTAAAATACAATTTTGCAATCTCCTTGCAATGTTATCATTTACTATAATAAAAATCAGTAATTTATAGGTAGGGTTACAAGTGTCAGATGTTGCTAATGCAACCTAGATTAATGTACAAAATTTAGTATTTCTATCGGTAATGTTTCTGGCTAATAAGTTTTGTTAAAATATATAAGTTTTATAAACACTGACGAATCTTCAAAAATCTGTCCTCCTGAACAACTTCTCTGTACATAAAATTAACACTAGATAAACTAATTCTCTACTTCTTCATATGTTTATTGCTACGCGACAGTTTATTTTGCATACAGTGCGAACACAGAACATTGTTACTAATATTGATATCGTTAAAAAATTGAGACTCATGTACTGGTCAAGTTAGTGTACATATCTAGACGATTTAATTATGACAATAGTGTCGTCTCTATATTGCTAAATTGTGACATTAGCGTGTCTGAAAGAAATCAATTTTTACTGTGTTTAATGTCGTGCTTAATATAATGGGAACGTACGCGATCATTTTTTATTCACCATCGGGTCGAGACTCTCGACTTCACGTGTGTGCTTCATTGATTTTACATATCGTGCATTATGTGATGGGGTAGGAAGTAGATGTTCGACTTTTCAACCATACAGCGTATGTGGCGAAAGCTAAGCCGACGAAGATAAACTGTTGCTTCCAAATAACTGAATTTGTACACAACTTTCCCAATGCAAAAGAAATAATAGGAATTTTCCTTAATCTGTATTTATAATACACTATGGAATAATGTGCAATATATAATAAATTACAAAATTATTTCACGATGTATAATAAATTACAAAATTATTTTACACACACAATATGTATGATATATAATATATTATTTTTATTTTAGTATACAATGAACCCACTGAAATGATTGATTCTGTAGATAAAATTTTCATACTGCTCGTACTAGAATCTATATGTACTCCCATTTTATTCACGCTTATAAGAAATATTATTTGTTCTGCTGTTTTTGTATGAGAGTCAAGCATTAAAGTAGGCCAGGCAGTGCAAATTATAAAGCATTATAAGGTCGATTAGGGGTTCAGCAAGTACAACCGTGGTACGCTCAATGAATCGCTGATTTTCTGTAAAAGTGTTCACGCGGAATTAAAGCAAGGAGAAGCTGCTGATTTGCTATGCGGACCGTACAAAGCGAAAGTAAAATGTTACGAATTCGATGTCTGCGGACGTTTAACGAAATACCCGAATTTAACTACTTCCGGAAATGTGAATAGTCTATTCGAGTGACAGAGTAAATGTTTTACAGTGACCAAGTTCCCTGTATTTAAATGGACATTTTATGCAATTGACAATGATAAAAACTACATTGTTAGCGTTCCTTTATGGAAACTTCAATCATAGTTTTCGTGATTTAAATACAATACGTAAGTATAGTACAGATTATAGAAAAGCGACGAGTTTGTACTGTAAATAGTACAAATACCTATGCAATAATTAATAAAATTATTCTATTTTTTTGCACATGTACATTCTCAGTTGAGAAAATATTTTTAATAAATATAAATATGAACAAAGAAATCCTACTTTGCTACTAAAATTGTCGAAGGCAATTTAGGTATACTTTCGATAGTTTTTATAATATAATTTCTGTTTACTTATCTTTAAGTAACAAGTTTACTTATCGCATTAAGGATTAGCAATGATATAATTATTATAAAGTGGTCACTATTCTTTTGTTACAAAGATTAACGATTTCTATTAAAGTATCACAAATACTATTACATTGCCTGCAGTTTAAATAATTTGATTATTCCATTAAGAAATCGTAGTGACATTATCTTTGATCACAGATTACAAGTATTTACGGGATAATTTTCGTAAACTGATGTCGAATAGAAATCTTACTAGTTTATTAGAATTTTAGCAGAGTTATAAACAAATTAAAACTCTTGCATCTTATTGAACTTCTCATTGCATCGAATATCCTGCCTCCGGGTGTATTATAAATTTCCAGTCTTATTTTCACTTCAAGTAATCATTAGCAGTAATAAATCAAGAACCTGTTTATGATTCGTATGCAGTAAGCGAAACTAAACGGCGAAATTTCCTATTCGAAGAGGAAAACGAAGAAGAAGAAGACGCGAATTAATATTTCAAAGTATATACGTTTTCAAAAGTTGTCGAAAGTCCAAACCGATCTGTACACACCATGAATGACCAATCGTGCATTGTCCAACAAGGACGACGTATAGGATGCGAAGAAAACACATGCTCAGCGCTTTCGAATGATCCTCGTCGTTTGGCATAGTGCCAACAGAGGAGCGAAACTCTTCCGTCTACGACCTAAATCTGTCGCTTTCCGTTTGCACGTTTCTTAACCTTATCATACTGTCAATACAAATTTTCTTCGAACATGCCCGTATACTTATGTCCTTATTTAATCAGCAATAACGTAATCCTCGTTAAGCATGCTTCAATTAATCACGAGCTCGATTTCAGAACGATCCACAGCATTGCGGAAATCCTAAGGCTACTGATTGCTTCACATCGATCACGACTGACATCATTGGAACGAATAACTATTAATTATAGAAATAGAAAATCCTTGCTCTAATTTAACATATCGATCACTTACTGAAATTCAAAGCTTTTTTTATTTTTTACTATCGTAAGTAATGACGAAACTATGAACAGCATATGTTTTTATAGTAAATCTCTTAAATATTTAGTACGAGAAATAATAAAAACCGTAATTAAATTTTCACTTAACGAACTGCTTAAACAAATTTCTGGTTTTTTTTAGCAATCGGAGTTTACTGGTAACGTTGAAATAAAAATTTGAGATCAATATTTTTATATCACTATCGATTTACATCGATTTCGAGAGCTAATTAGAAAGAGTTTATTTGGATGGCAATTAATCGAACTGTTATTTGAATAGCTCCAGGTTCTTAGCTATATATTGATGTTTAATACTAATGTTTGAAAAGTCAACTTACACGATTCGTAGAGTAAATTCTTCCGAATTGACACTCAGGTTGAACATAAAAATGGACAATTTGGGAAGAGGAGGTACGATTATTCGAGCCTCGCGCCTCGTTTTTGTAGTTGTTGCTAATCGGTAACTATAAAAATGAGCCGCGAATAATCGTATCTCCTCTTCTTAAATTGTCCGTTTTTGTGTACAAGCTAAACGTCAATTAAGTAGAATTTACTGTACTTCTTCTCCCTCTTTCTCTCTCTCGTTCGTTCTTCTTGCCTTAGCGTTCTGTAATTGAGTTCTCTACTTAGGTAGTTTCGTTAAAACCGTTAGAAGTAAGATTTTAACCTTTTAGTTGTCTGTTTTCACAGGATTCCCAGCAAACAGAATCTTCCTGTTGGAAAGTTCGTTTGTCACCGTAATTGCTTCACCGGAAAGTGATACAGAACTCTTATCGGACGTGACAATGCAATAATATGTCAATATTCAGTGTTTCGTTATTTGAACCATAACTATTCTGTCAAATAAAGTTAAGCTGAATAATTGTAATCCTAAAAAATTAAATATTTCATTGAGGTATCGTTTATTAATAGATAATTAAAAAATTTGACACGATATATTACCAAAAGGATTATAATTTTTAAAAACTTTGTTACTTATTTGGAAAGTTTAATTTAAATTATCATTAAATAATATTTTTTTTTCATCAAAGATAATTCGAAATATTAGTATAATATTGTTGGTCAAAAGTTTCTAATAACCTGACTTGAAAGATTCAGTTGGTTTTATTATCTCAGTAAAAGCATCAATTATTTCATTTATGGCAGGAATACAAATGATCGTTTATTTAATAATGTAGTTCTTGTTTCGTATTATTATAGGTACAGGTTTTTACAACATAAAAAAGATTGTATTCGACATGACTCGTATTACTATCATCATTAGTGAGCAATTTAATAGCGCCGGCCATTTATGATTTCCATAGTATTCAACGTGACCATGCATTTAAGTTCGTTGGTCTAACGGTATTAGGGGTTTGTATGATTTATTCTTAAAAAGAACATTTTTTACTCGTTTCATGATCTGTGATGGTCTTATTTCTTAATCTACTCTAATTTGTGCTAATTCTTATTTATTAAAATGCCTCGGTAACACACTTTTTGGATAAATATATTAACGTGGTATTAAATATGTTAACTACGAACTATTAAATGTTGAATTTTCAAAATATATCGTTTCATACATTCTAATATTTCAACCAACAAGAAATGATAACATATATAACATTATATATTGATAGGAGCATTTTTTCATTGTGTTTCATAAAAAAGAGATAATAATATTGGCTAAGAATAAAAAATACAATGCGTTATTGTTTTTTCAAAGAATTCTACCTTATCGCTTTAAAACAAATAAACTGTGAATAAATAAATAATAAAATAATAAGTAATAATAAATAATAATAAATAATAAATAAATAAGAAGAAGGAATAAACAAGTGAAGAGTGAAAAATAGTATTAAACTCAATGAAATAAA